AAGAGAAGTAGATGAGAGAGAAAAGAGAAGGAGAGAGGGGGGAAGAAGGAGAGAAAGAGAAGAGAGAGAAGCAAAGAGTTAGAAAAAATAGAGGGGAGAGGAGAAAAGATGATAGAGAGAGAGAAGAGCAAGAGAACAGGGACAAAGAGAAAGAAGAGAGGAGGAGAGAACAGACAGAGGGAGCAGACAGAGAGGGAGAGGAGACAGAGAGGAAAAGACAGAAGAAAATAAAACAGGAAGACAGAGTGAGACAGGAAAAGGAGGGGTGGGAGAAGTGAAGAAGGACAGGAGTTAGAGGGAAAGGAAAGTGGTTAGGATTTAGAGTGAAAGTGAAAACTTAGTCTTTTCCTTTTTCACCCCCACTCCTAAGAGAAAAAAAAACACAAACCAAGGAAAAGGAGAACACTGAGAGAAAAAGAAGCAAGAAGACTTAGATTGACAGTGATAAGAAAACAGAAACAAAGGGTTAGAGATAGATGGAAGTTAAGTTAGAAATAGAACAGTAAAGTGAGGAGCAAAAGGAAGAAATACAGTGGAAAGAAATGACAAAACCACACCAAAAAAAGACAGGAGCCACGGTGGGGAAAGGAAGGGCAGGGGGTATCTTTATTAAGGGTGACTCAACTTTATTGAAAGAATGCTTTTATTTATACATCAGCAAAATACATGGAAACAGTGTATACAAGTGCAAGTGCAGATACAATGCATAGACACACTAGTCAAAGTCTAATTTACATACAGAGCAATACAGCAAATGAAGCAGTTAATGCAAATGCAATACAGGAGCAGCAATACAGAGCAGCAATACAGAGCAGCAATACAGAGCAGCAATACAGAGCAGCACAGCAAAATGCAGCAGCTAAGGCAAATGCAATACAGAGCAATACACATATTAACACAAAGCAATAACCTTTTTCTATTTTCATTAGATGTTGATTTATTGTGACAGGAAACCCAAAACAACAAAAGCACACAGAAAACAACACTCATCACCACTAACACCCCCTTCAGCTTACACACAAACTCACCATCACTGCCATCACAACTGCTAAATTACTCCGCAGCAATCATTGGTCCTCAGGAACACGGTTCCCAGGTGCCTCCAAAAAATCCTCCTGCCTGACAAAAACCCCGGTCCCTGGACGGTCTGCGCCCAAACTTTGGTGATGAATGTTGCCTCGCAGACCGACCGGGACCCGGGAAAAAAAAACCCAGCCGGGGGGAAAAAAAAAAAAAACCCCCCGGCTGGGGATTTTTTATTCTAAATTTAAAAATGAATTACAAAACCTGAAAAGCAAAAGTCATATAAGGTTACAACCCTTCAACACACACATACACACACACACACACACACCTCCTTCAGCTTACACACAAACCCACACTGACTCACACCTCAACTGCTCTGCTAACCCCCGGCACGCATTCGCGCCGCTCCTCGGGAACGCGGTTCCCGGGAGCCTCCAATAAAATCCTCCTGCCTGACAAAAACCCCGGTCCCTGGACGGTCTGCGCCCAAACTTTGGTGATGAATGTTGCCTCGCAGACCGACCGGGACCCGGGAAAAAAAAACCCCAGCCGGGGGGAAAAAAAAAAAAACCCCCCGGCTGGGGATTTTTTATTCTAAATTTAAAAATGAATTACAAAACCTGAAAAGCAAAAGTCATATAAGGTTACAACCCTTCAACACACACATACACACACACACACACACACCTCCTTCAGCTTACACACAAACCCACACTGACTCACACCTCAACTGCTCTGCTAACCCCCGGCACGCATTCGCGCCGCTCCTCGGGAACGCGGTTCCCGGGAGCCTCCAATAAAATCCTCCTGCCTGACAAAAACCCCGGTCCCTGGACGGTCTGCGCCCAAACTTTGGTGATGAATGTTGCCTCGCAGACCGACCGGGACCCGGGAAAAAAAAACCCAGCCGGGGGGAAAAAAAAAAAAAACCCCCCGGCTGGGGATTTTTTATTCTAAATTTAAAAATGAATTACAAAACCTGAAAAGCAAAAGTCATATAAGGTTACAACCCTTCAACACACACATACACACACACCTCCTTCAGCTTACACACAAACCCACACTGACTCACACCTCAACTGCTCTGCTAACCCCCGGCACGCATTCGCGCCGCTCCTCGGGAACGCGGTTCCCGGGAGCCTCCAAAAAATCCTCCTGCCTGACAAAAACCCCGGTCCCTGGATGGTCTGTGCCCAAACTTTGGTGATGAACGTCGCCTCTCAGACCGACCGGGACCGAGGAAAAAAAAACCCAGCCGGGGGGGAAAAAAAAACCCCCCCCGCTGGGGATTTTTTATTCTAAATTTAAAAATGAATTACAAAACCTGAAAAGCAAAAGTCACATACACAAGGTTAAAACTAGTCAGCATGTGCTCACACACACAGAGACGAGTGGACACAGACACACACAGTCATGTGCTCTCACACACGCTCACACACTCTTCCTGCTTACAGGCTCGCTATGGCCCTTACTCAAGATGCTGAAGAACGTGCTTCGACGCGTCTTCTGGCTGCCACTCCTTGACGTCGAATGGTAGATTCTGGGGAAATCGGTAGCCTCGAGGACCTGTGAGACGACAGGAATTGGTCAACTTGTGGCTGACAGCTAGGAATTTTCCCCACTCTGGACCAATAAATTTTCTACCCAATATGCCATAAAAGACAGATGAACAGTAAAGTTTTTACAACTGTTCTACCTAACTATGACTACATGCCAGGGCAGGGCAGCTCCAATCATAAGTGGTATATTATAAGTACATAGAATATAAGCAAACGCATACAGTGCAAGTGTACATACAGTGTAAGTAGACACAATACAAGCCGACACAGGTACACGCAATATAAGTATATACAATATAAGCCTATACAATACAAGCCAACAGAGGTACACGCAATATAAGTATATACAATATAAGCCTATACAATATAAGCCAACAAAGGTACATGCAATATAGCTACACACAATACAAGCCAACACAGGTACACGCAATATAAGTATATACAATATAAGCCTATACAATATAAGCCAACAAAGGTACATGCAATATAGCTACACACAATACAAGCCAACATAGGTACACACAATATAAGCCAAGACTTGAGATAACTCTGTGGAAGATTAATTGTTGGGCCCCATAGCCTTTGAGAAGATGGAACCTACAGAACAACTGCAGTCACTTGAGGAGGGTGTAAGACGCTCCCTCTAGAAGTCCAAGATAATGGCATGGAAAAAAAACCACTACCAAAGCTGGTAGTGAGAAGGAAGATGGATGAGAAAATCTTGTAATCCTTTCCTGTCTCAAAGAGTAAAAATGTAAAGATGCTAGAATAAGCTATATCTGGGAAGGAATGTGAGTAAAATACTGCCTATATGGCACAAAATAGTGCCTGTAAAGCATCGAGATGTAACAAAGGCCTATGACACGGAAGACAATAGACACAGACTACATAACACGGATGACACAACATAGACACGGATGGCATAACAGAGACACGAGTAAACTGCCTAGCACTTTCAACTTATGGACCCGAGATTCATAGCGCAAGATGAGCCAGAGGCCGATGATGCCAAAGGAAAGAAAGCCCTATGATGATGGCACGTGATGATGAAACATAACTCCTTAAAAGAAGTTAGTGCCAAAGCAGTTAAGAGGATGCTCGAGAGGCTCAGCGAGCCTAGAGAAGGAAGCCGACTGCCGGGTGACCGTGGCCGTAGCTCCGGACCTGAAGGCGAGCTCCTCGGGGAAAAGATCCGTGACGACGTCGGGCCGAGGAAGGCGGACAACGCAAAGTTCCCGAGAACGTGGAGATGGGTTGGAACTGCCCTGCCCGGCAAAGGCTCTGGTGAGGCTGAGGAGAAACCCTCTCCCTTTACTTCCAGAGAGCCTGTCCCGATACAGACCTCTCCGCTAAGCTGACATGAAATTGCCCCCTGTGATAGTAAAGGTTTTTCCCCTTCTCCAAACCACTGGCCCCGACACTTAGCTTTTGGAAGAGGAGCGGACAAAATCCATCCTCGGTCGCACGTGGACGTTGAGATGTTCTCCGCGTGTGCTTCGGTGTTGCCGTTTCTAAGCTTTGGGTAAGAGCCTCCTCAGGGTACCTAAGACAAAACAGAAAAGGTGACTATTGCCCTCAACAACAGTAATCCCCGGGACTCCTCCGCACCACTCCCCCGGCTCACCTCAAATCTTGATTTGACTCCGGAGGCTGGCCAGAAGATACCTGCAAAGAGAAAAGGTACATACTTAGCATGCTGCTTCATAACATTCACCTATGAGTCAGCCTGCCTAAACGCCGACTCACCTGCCCTCCTCTGTTCCTTGGCGTACCTAGGGCAGCAACAGCACCTGCAAAGTAACAAAGCAGAAAAGCATGCTGAGATACTGTGAAAACACAACCTCCCAAATCTGACAAATATGCCACACCGATACCTTAAGCTCGCACCCACCTGGCACAGATATGCTCGGCTAGGATAGATTGCAAGCGGACCACCTAAAATTAAAAAAAAAAAAAGAGATGCTTAAAGCTGCACCAGAAACTGAGACCTCAGCAATAACAATTGCTTCTGTACACTAGTCAATGCTCACCTCGCCCACTTGGCCTTGACTGCTGCTCTCGGCTTTAACTTCCTAAAAAGAGAGACAAAGAACAATGCTGTAACAGCCACCATTTATGCTTCCTCTACAGAAACAAGTAGTGCCTCACCTGCTTGGGGGAAACCACTCACCCGGGATGGGGCCCTCTGGCACACATTTAATCCATCTGAATCTGAAAAAAGGTTAGGACAAGAGTCAAACTGTTGCAGGATAACTTAAGAGCTCCAGATATCTTGTGTCCATCTACAAATCCCATCTAGAGTCCAACTACACCCCACATTACAAACTTCAAGTCCCCGGGACTTCTCCTATTGCACCGGGCTACGCGGCAGGGCAGCGCAGCTCCGGCACAAATGTGTGTGCTGACACCCGTGACACGGGACGTGACAGACGACGGGGACGCGACATGGACAGAAATCTCCTGGCAAGGAAAATGGCTGTGAGGACTGAGAGAATGCAAAAGGAGATGACCGAGGTGAAACTGATGGTGGGCTGATGAGGCTCAGAGAACACTGGAGGTAAAAGATGCTAACTGAATGATTTATTCCAAGAACTGCAAAGATGGATGCCCAAGAATCCTACGGCCAGAAGCCTGTACCTGCCCTCACATTCTTACAAGTCCTAGTCCGCCATAATGGATCCTGGCGGGGTATAGCTGTCCATACAGCTCAGAACAAGACCTGAAAAAACAGCTGACTGGATGCTTATAAAAAGAGATGAGAGTCTGAGCTCCCGAGTCAAAAGTTCTATGGCATGGGTGCCAGGCCAAGGAACGCTGAGAGCACAGATGCTAAGACTGGTGCCAAGGTTTCTGGTAGGCCCCTCAAAGGGCTAAGATAAAAGACATGAGACAGCTAAACAAGACATAATGCACAACAGACAAGTGACACAATATACACCGGGACTGCTCTGCCCTGCTCACCTCAGCACGGTGATCAAAAGTGAGATTTTGCTTTTAGGGGGCCTAAGGGGCCACTTCTTGGCTACCCTCGTCTCCATAGCCAACTCAAAACCTCCCCCATCCCAGGAGTGCCGACCCAGCACCTCGCTTTCATTCCCTCTGTGGGTCGTGGCCCTCTACTTATCTCTCGGACATCTGGGGATGCCGGTCCGTGTCGGGTGCGAAGAAAGGCCGCCTCGCCGGCTGGGAAGGTCCTGCTGGCACCGGGCTGGTGTCTCTTAGACAGCTATATTAAAGAAAACGAAACATCAACACCTGACCTTGGCACCACATCGGCCAAAACCACACAAGTCTGCTACTCACCGTTCTCCTAAGAAGGCCTGGCACCTCGTAACCATAACCCTCTGCCACAGATGTAATTCATCTGCACCTGAAAATTCATCTGCACCTGAAAGAAAGGTAGAACATATGTCAAACACATGCACGATAACTCAAAAGCTGCAAACACCTTATGTCAACCTAGGAATAGCATCTAGAGTCCAAGTACAGCCCACATTACAACTTTCAACTCCCCGGGGCTTCTCCTATTACACTAGGCTATGCGGCAGGGCAGAGCAGCTCCGGCACAAATGTGTGTGCTGACACCCGTGACACGGGACACGACAAACAATGGGCACAAGACACAGACAGAAATCTCTAGGCAAGAAGGATGACTGCGAGGACTGAGAAGATGCCAAATGAGATGACCAAGGTAAGACAGACCGATGGCGAGCTGATAAGGCTCAGAGTGCCCTGGAGAAGGAAGATGCTAAACTGAACGTTTTAGTCCAAGAACTGCAAAGATGAATACACAGGAGCCCTACGGTCAGAAGCCTCTACCTGCCCTCACATTCTTACAAGTCCTAATCCACCATAGGAGAACCTTGCAGGGTGCAGCTGTCCATACAGCTCAGAACAAGACCTGAAAAGACATCTGACTGGATGCTTACAAAGAGTTGCAATTCTGATGCCTGTCTGAGCTCCCGAGTCAAAAGTTTTATGGCCTGGGTGCCGGGCCAAAGAAACGTGGAGATCGTGGCTGCTAAGAATACTGCCGAGGTTTCTGATAGGCCCCTCAAAGGGCTAAGATAAAAGACATGAGACACCCAACCAAGACATAACGCACGGTAGACAAGTGACACGATACACACCGGGACTGCTCTGCCCTGTGCACCTCAGCACTGTGATCCAAAGTGAGACTTTGCTTTTAGGGGGCCTAAGGGGCCAATTCTTGGCTACTCTCATCTCCAGAGCCAACTCAAGACCTCCCCTCCCCGATCCCAGGAGTCCCAACCCAGCACCTTGCTTTCATCCCCTCTGTGGGTCGGAGCCCTCTACTTATCTCTCGGACATCTGGGGATGCCGGTCCGTGTTGGGTGCGAAGAAAGGCCGCCTCGCCGGCTGGGAAGGTCCTGCTGGCACCGGGCTGGTGTCTCTTAGACAGCTATATTAAAGAAAACGAAACATCAGTGCCTGATCTTGGCAGCCCGTCGGCCAAAACCCCACAAGTCTGCTACTCACCCTTCTCCTAAGAAGGCCCGGCTCCTCAGGTGGCACGCTTCAGGAACGCTCGGAGGCCAACGCCGTCGGCGTGGGGTACACCTGGGTTAAGAAGACAGGAGGCGATGTGGCATTGCTGAAAACTGACTGGACCCTTGGTCCTCCTCCCTACTTCCCTGACTCACCGCAACTCCTCGGTGGTTCCTGACTGCTACCCGGAAGACAGGGCTCATCAGGGTGAAAAATTCGGTCCGTCGGCCGGGTGGGGATGGGAGCTTGGCGTGCTCCGAGTGGATTGCCTAAGGCACAAAAACGAGAATGGAGACTTAGACTTGCCCCCTTGGAATTCAGACCTCAGCAACAAGAAAGGCTACTGCTCACCTTACCCTTTTGAACTTGACTGCTGAGATCCAGCTATACTTCCTAAAAATAAAGACCAAAAACAGCGCTGTAATAGGGTCACACTTGACACTCCCCCTGCACAGACAAATGGTGACTGACCTGCTATGGGGAACCCCCTCACCCGGGATGGGGTGCTCTGCCATGGATGCAATGCATCTGCACCTGAAAGAAAGTTAGAACATATGTCAAACACCTGCAGGATAACTCAAAAGATACAAACACCTTAGGTCAACATAGGAATAGCATCTAGAGTCCAAGTACAGCCCACATTACAACCTTCAACTCCCCGGGGCTTCTCCTATTACACCAGGCTATGCGGCAGGGCAGAGCAGCTCCGGCACAAATGTGTGTGCTGACACCCGTGACACGGGACAGACAGGACGTGACAAACAATGGGCACACAACACAGACAGAAATCTCTGGGCAAGAAGGATGACTGCAAGGACTGAGAAGATGCCAAATGAGATGACCGAGGTGAGACCGATGGTGAGCTGACAAGGCTCAGAAAACACTGAAGGAAGAAGATGCTAACTGAATGATTTATTCCAAGAACTGCAAAGATGGATGCCCGAGAATCCTACGGTCAGAAGCCTCTACCTGCCCTCACGTTCTTACAAGTCCAAGTCTGCCTTAATGGATCCTGGCGGGACATAGCTGTCCATACAGCTCAGAACAAGACCTGAAAAGACAGCTGACCGGATGCTTCTAAAGAGACAAGAGAGTCTGATGCCTGTCTGAGCTCCCGAGTCAAAAGTTCTATGGCATGGGTGCCAGGCCAAGGAATGCAGAGATCACAGATGCTAACAATGATGCCAGGGTTTCTGACAGGCCCCACCAAGGCCTAAGGTAAAAGACATGACATATGCAAACAACACATAATACACAAAAGACAAGGGACACGATACACACCGGGACTGCTCTGCCCTGCACACCTCAGCGCTGTGATGAAAAGTCAGGCTTTCCTTTTATGGGGCCTAAGGTGCCGCTTCATGGACACCCCCCACCTCCAAAGCAGACTCAAAAACCCCTCCCAGTAATTCCCAAACCAGCACCCTGCTTTCATTCCCTCTGTGGGTCGTGGCCCTCTACTTATCTCTCGGACATCTGGGGATGCCGGTCTCCGGTGCGAAGAAAGGCCACTTCGTCAGCTGGGAAGGTCCTGCTGTCACCGGGCTGTTGTCTCTTAGACAGCTGTATTAAAGAAAACCAAACATCAGTGCCCGATCTTGGCAGCCCATCGGCCAAAACCCCACAAGTCTGCTACTCACCCATGCTCCTAAGAATGCTCAGCTGCTCGGGCCGCACGCTTCGGGCACGCTCGGAGACCGAGGCTGTCGTCACAGGGGGTGCCTGGGTTAAGAGGAGAGGAGGTGATTTGGCATGGCTGAAACCTGAGTGGAACCTGGCTCCTCCTCCCTACTTCGCCTACTCACTGCAACTCCTCGGCAGCTGCTGAAGGCCACCTGGATGGCACCTTTAAATAGAGTTCAGGGTTTCATCACCAGGTCCTGTAATGCATCCGCAGGGCTCACACGTGCAGGGAACCCGGTGCATCGGCCGGCTGGTGACGGGGGCTTGGCAGGCTCCAAGTGGATTGCCTAAAGCACAAAAAAGAGAATGGAAGCTTAGAGCAGCACCAGAAACTGAGACTGGAGCAATAACAGCTACTTCTCTCCACTGCTCACCTTGACTGCTGGTATCCAGACTTAGTTCCTAAAAAGAAAGAAAGAACAGAGCTGTAACAGAGTCACCACATACACTTCTGTTGCAGAGACAAATGGTGCCTCACCTGCTCAGGGGAAACCACTCACCCGGGATGGGGCCCTCTGCCACACATTTAATCCATCTGAATCTGAAAAAAGGTTAGGACAAGAGTCAAACTGTTGCAGGATAACTTAAGAGCTCCAGA